TTTACTTTTTTTTTTCTTAGTTAAAACAAGAGAGAACTTGATTTGATAGGCTTACTACTGGGTTTTCAAAATATATATATATATATATATAAAATAGACGATTATAAAAATAAAATAAAAATAAAATAAAATCAACAGTCATCAATTGTAAGAATAGAAATCAATCAATTAATCAATCAATTAATTTTTAAATATAGTAACAAAAAAGAAATACTACCTTCTTTTTAATTTATTTTATTTTATTTTTTCCCCTACCCCCCCCCCCCCTTAAACCCACCTTTATTTTATAAAAGAGTATGATTAAAGTCAATAACATCACATTTATTCTGCATCTGTCACATTGATTTTTATTTTTTTTTTTAAAATATATTTCTAAGAAAATATGTGATGCTAATTATGGAGTTCTCTTTCTTTCTTATTTTTTTTTTTTTCGTTATTTCATGTGGCTTTCAATCTTTGTGAACTAAATCACTTGCAGTTTAGTTAGTAAACCAAATTCAGCTCTAAGTCGAGGATTTTGAAATGATTTTCATTTATTCATTCATTATGATTACGATCACGATTGCTAATAAATTAGTAGAAAATTACTACAAATGTTTTTCCTGTAATCCTTTTCTTTTTTTTTTTTTTTCCCTCCTCAATTTCAAGGAAATATTTATTACCGACGGAGTTTTTTTTTTATTTTATTTTTTATTTTTTCATATAATAACGCTCATATTTTCCTTTCTTTCTAATATGTACAGGATTTTGTGACGTAATTGATTGCGGATTAAGGTCCCGAATGTTGAAAAAATACAGGAACAGGAAGAAGAAGAAGAAGAAGAAGAAGAAGAAGAAAAAAAAAATTAAATATTCGTTGGATTATTTTGGTAACATAAAAAAAAAAAAAAATTAAAATAAGCATACGCGTTGTGTTAAAATAAAAAATAAAAAAGAACAATACGAGGACAAAAAGACGGAGAATATTAAAGTATATGGTAAAATATATAGATATATATATAACTGGTTATGAATGAATAAATGAAAGTTAGAAATAGAGACTCATATATCATTATAACGTTGAATTGTATATGAGATGGGTAGTTATAATTAGGACTTAAATATATATATATATATATATATATATATATATATATATTCAATTCTAAATGGAATTTGGTTTCTAATGGCCAGACCGTTAAATTATTACTTTAAAAAAAAATTAAAATTAAAATTAAAATTAAACAGTTTAGCGATGTTAACTTAAATAAGAGTTTAAAATGTTTATAGACCAATATCAATAACGGTGACAAGAAAAGAGAGAAAGAGAGATAGAAAAAAAAATCTTTTGGTTTACCATGCAAGAAAGTTTGAATCAGTAAAGTCTCTATTAATAACCGTTGTACATTGTAGTTGTTGTTTTTGTTTGTCTTCACCAATCAATCACATGGTTTGAAAGTTTTTTTTTTTTTTTTTCAATTTTTTTTTATTAAAATACAGTGCGAATTTGGGTTTTTGTGGGGAGGGGAGTGTATGTATTATTAAGATTCTGTACTAAACTTTTTTTTATTTATTTTTATTTCACATCTCGGGTCACATTATGAAGACCGATGATGATCCCATAATACTATATAATTATAATATAAAAGGAAAAACTTAACTGGGACTTGTAAGTTAGAAATTATTATTATTGTTATTATTATTGTTATTATTAGGAATATCAATTGGTGCAAAAAAAAAAAAAGGATTTGCGATGGGGCAAATTTTTTTTTTTTTTTTTCTAATTATAAACCAAAATTAATCAAAACAAGACAAAGTCCAGTTTTATATATAGAATTATAAATTTTTTATTTTTATTTTTATTTTTATTTTTATTTTTATTTTTATGCTCAAAAATAGAGTAATCATTATTATTAATTTTTTTTTTTTTTAAAGAAGATGAAGAGGAAAAACACGAGGATTCTTTAACTGAACAAGTAAATTTGAACTATTTTAATTGCCTGAAAAAAAAAAAAAGTGTGTGTATGTAGATTAAATATAAAACAAAACATTGTCGGCGAAACATCGCTCAAGTCATCATTATAATGATTTAATATTTACAATATTTTTATATTTCTTATTTCTTATTTTAATTTTTTTTTTTTTAAATTTTTTGATTTCTCAATGATTGCTTTTATTCAACTCAATTCATAGCAAGATTTGTGAAAAGTTGATAATGATTATGGTGGGGAAAAAAGAGAGTTAGAGAAAGAGATGACCAAAAAGTGGGACGAAAAAAAAAAAAAAAAATAAAAATAAAATAAAAGAAGGAGAATGTGGGGAGAATCAAAAGTGCCGAAAAGAAGATGATAAAAAAAAAATGAGAAAAAAATAAAATAAAATAAAAAACCTTTTATTCTTAAGAATTTATAAAGATTATCATGATGAGAAGAAGAAAAAAAAATAAAATAAAATAAAAAAAGGGTTGTTTGCGAATCAAAATCATTGCTCTCATTTTCTCGGAGAAAAAAAAAAAAAAAATCTTTCTATATACTTTTCCTCCCCCACATTGAATTTGTTTTTTTTTTTTAAAGTACTACTATCACAAATTGATTCTTCGAATCCTGTTTGGGTAAAAAGCGCAAGCAACTGAAATATATATATATATATATATAATTATAATTATAAGTAAAATAAAGTAAAGTAAAATATAAAAAAAAAAAAAAAAATGGCAAGACATAAGAAAGTTTATTTTGGTTATGGTGGTGGTTGAGTTTTAAGTATTAAGTAGTGGTGGTATTAAGGCAACGGGAAGGAATTTCAAGCTAAAAGCCCTAAGTATTTTATTAGTAAGCTTTTTGCTTGTGGGGGGTAGTAGTAATGGTGGGAGGAAAAGAAGAAAAAAAAAAAAAAAAAAAAAAAGATCTTTTGCGCCAATTTTGTGATTTTCCCCAATCCCCCCCTTTTCTTTTGAACTCCCAGATCAGGACTTTGCTACCGGATTGAATTATTTGACTAAAAGAGAGAAATGTTAACTATGTTTTTATTTAATATGAAATAAAAGAAAATGAAGAGGAAGAATAATTATAATAAAAATATTAAAAAAAAAAAGTATATATATATATATATATATGACTCCACTTTAAGTTCCTTAACAGAGCAAAAAAAGAAAAAGAAAAAAAAGACTTAAGACTTATTTAAAGTCTAAATATTCGCTTATTGGAATTTTTGTACCATTGAACAATCAGGCTTAAATAATTTTATTTTATTTTTTATTTATTCAAGGTTTAAAATATTTAAAGGGATATATAATTTTTTTTCTTTCATTTGCTCCTTTTAAACTGTCTGTTTTTACAATAAACTTTTTTTTTTTTTTTTTTTAATTTGAACTTCAACGTTTACATCTCTATGTTTCTGTTTCTCTGTCTCCAATAACCCGGGAATATGTCCTGATTTTAGTTTACAAAGAGCAGAAGGGAGAGAGAGAGAGAGAGAGAGAGAGAGAGGGATGGAGTCACAAACACCAAAACCTACTCAACTTATGTTCATCAATGGAGATTAAGTTTATTTTATTTCTTAAAATCATTGAAGAAGAAGCAGCTGCAGATAGTTTAAGAGAGAAAGAGAGAGAGAGAGAAAGTTGATAAGTTTCAAAATTATTTTTTTTCTTAATTCTTAATTATCCTATCTACCAGCAAAAAAAAAAGAAAGAAAGAAAGAAAGAAAGGGAAAAAAAAGAAGGAGAATATGAAGAAGAAGAAGAAGAAGAAGAAGCTCATTCAATAAAGTAGATTGAAGCTAACTGTTTTTAGTTTTTCATCATTTTGTAGTTAGTTGATGTCGTTGTAGTTGTAGTTGTAGTTGTAGTTGTAGTTCATTTTTAAAGTCTAAAATGGCCACAAGTCTTATTCTTTTTTTTTTTTTTTTTTTTTTGTCTGCCAAAAGCCCTCAAAGACAGACAATCAGACAAACAGACAGACAGAAAAGAAGTGTAATATAGTAATAACTACTTATATATAAGTATATTATTATTATTATTATTATTATTATTATTATTATTATTATTATAATAGTAAAGTAAAAGTAACAGATTTTGAGCAAAAAGTTTAAAAAAAAAAAAAACCCGCGCCTTTCTTTTTTTTTTTTTTTGCTCTCTCACTAGAAAATAAATAAATAAATAAACCAAAAAAAAAAAAAAAAAAAAAAAAAAAAAAAAAAAAGTAGCGGGAAGAAGTTCAAGTAGAAGAAGAAATAATAGAAGAAAATTTTGAAGTAGTTGAAGTTGAAGTTGAAGTTGAAGTAGAAGAAGAATTAAAAAAATAAAAAAAAAGAAAAGAATTCTATAAGTCTTTGTTATCAAAAACTTTTTTTTGGTTAATTTATAAAATAAAATAAAATAAAATAATAATTCCACTAAAGAAGTTGGCTGTGGTGGTGGACCCGTTTGTGTTGTTGTTGTTGTTTGGTTGGTGGTAGTGGTGGTGAAAAAAAAAAAAAAAAAAAAAAAAAAAGGTGCTTTGATTTTTAAGGTCTGGCCATTTTATTTTATTTTATTTTATTTTATTTTTGTTAACTCAAATTTATACATTTTATATATATCAAAATTATTGTAATCCCTCTCTATATATAATTTATTTTATTTATATATAACTTCTACTCTTCCCACATTTTTTTTTTTTTTTTTTTTTTTTTTTTTTTAATTTTTCTAAATAAATCATTATCATTTATAAATTTTTTTTTTTTTTTAAAAAAAAAAAATTAATCTAAAATTTATATATATTCCAAATACTTACACTCCTTTGAATAATAATATACAATCTTATACAAAACCTATTTTTCTTAAACGATTTTCAACATTCAATCAACATTCTCAATTAAGCATACCAATCAACCAATCAATCAATCAATTAAAATCTAAATCGGCATTGATCTAAAATACATTCTCAACATTTTATTATTCAGCATTCAGCATTTATCATTTATCATTTAGCATTTAGCATTTAGCATTTAGACATTAGCATTCAATATTTTAATATTCAACAATGGCAGTTACCATCCAACCACAAGACCTTGAAACCCCCTCTATGGCAGACATGTATGATCCCCACGACCCACAAACAATCACTGAGTGGTATTGTTGTCAATGTGCACGGTACCATGGAATTCCACCACCCCGATATGACTGCACCCGGTGTAACCACATGATGTGTCCATATTGTCCCAAGCGGCGCATCAAAGATGGTCTTCAACAACAACAATTGGCCAATGCAACTGCGAATTAAAGAGAGAGAGAGAGAGAAAGAAAAAGGGTTTTTTTTTTTTTATATTTCTTCCCTAAAGACTAAAGTGTCTTATTCTGTGTGTGTGTGTGTGTTTTTTCAAAGACACATTCCAACCCTTGACAAAAGAGGAGGATTGTTGTTGAAAAAAAAAAAAAAATAAATCAATGGAAGAAAACGAAGAGTCTAATAAACTCTGGAATTGGCCGAACTGAGACTTGGAGGGCGGAACACGGAATTTTTTTTTTTCTTCTTTCTTTCTTTTTTTTTTTTTTTTTTTTTTCAAAACAAGAAGGAAAGTAATCAAAAATATTTCCCCATTCTATCTTTATATTTCTCTGATTCTTTCTATTTCAAGTCCTTTTGTTGAATATTTTTTTTTTTTTTTAAAAAAAAAAAAAACGTGCCTTGACTTGGGTATAAAAAGAATGCGGGAATATATTTATTTATTTATTTGCACACACAAACACAAGATCAACAATAACAAACCTTAAATACAACGACGAGTCCAAGTCAGAAAAAAAGAGAAAATACATCAGTGTATTGTCATTTCAAATGCGACCCTTTAAAAAAAAAAAAAAAAAAAAAAGTCCCCTTTGATGAAGAATCAGCCATTTAATACAAACGTGCATTTAATTATCGATATAATTATCCTCTTGTCCTCTTTTTTCTTTTCTTTTAAAAGATACGTTTGAAAGGTTTATCAACTTTTTTTTTTTTGGAATTAACAGGAGAGGCATCAAACCTTTTTTTTTTTTTTTTTCTTTTCTTCTGTGGGTCTTTTTTACTCCTCTTTAATCTGGGCCGCCAGTCAGTCTCTCCACCACCAACTTTCTTTCTAAATGCACGTTTGTCAGAAGATTTTGAACCTTTTTTTATTATTATTTTTATTAGAAGGGGTTAGTAAGTTAGTTAGTTAATTGGTTGGTCAATTAGTCGGTTGACTGATTGATTAAGTTGTTGTTGTTGTGTCCACACCACCACCAAACATCGTCAACTTGGAAGATTTTTTTTTATTTTTTTTATTTTTTTTTTTATTTTGGAAATATCCGTCTGTCTGCCTACGTGTGAAACGGTGCAGCCATCAAACACAGACTGATAAAAAAAAAAAAAAAAAACAGCAGCAGCAGCAGCACCACCACCACCACCAACAGAAGTAGCAGCACTGCCTTAAGCACTGCCATAGGCACTGCCATAGGCACTGCCATCAGACTGTCAACACTTAGCGGCAATATTTAAATCATTTTAATTTACGAATTAACTGCTGCACTTTCTCATTTTCTTCTTTTTCCTCATGAGTGATCAATCAATCAAAGGGAATTTTATTATTATTTTAATTTTCATCATTATTATCATCAAACTTGACAATGCCGTTGATCGGCTTTACTTGATTTTTTTTTAAATGATTACTAGGAAGAGAGCAACTAAAAAGAAAAGAAGAAGAAGAAGCTCAAATAAGAAACAGTTTCTCATTTTCCCGCTTGTATTTCCCCCAAAGTTTTTGAGAAGAAGAAGAAAAAATTTTATTTTTCCATCTTTTTCATCTTTTAAATAATAAACCTTCTCAGCCGTGATTTTCTGATTCTGCCGCATTGTTGGATACTTTGTTCCACGTTTCTAACGCCAGATCTTTTTCCATGAATTTTTTCCTTCTTTCTTTCATTAAAGTTTATTGAGAAGCAAGCAATTGAGCTTTAAAAGTATGCTATTATTATTATTATATTAAATATATATAAAATTAAATATATATAAAATAAATGACTATTCACTATTTAAAATTTCTAGTGTAGTATCTTTTTTTTTTTTTTTTTTTTTTTTGTAAAAACAATAACAAATACAATCTCGAGACTTTTTTTTTGCTAGTTTTGATTACATTTATTCATCTATTGAATGGCCCAAATAAAACCACAAAAAAAAAAAAAAAAAAAAAAGTCCATGTTTTTGATTTTTATAAATTTAATATAAATGTTAACCACCTTGAAAAAAAAAAAAAAAAAAATGTTGCTTAATCATTATTATGTGCGCCTTTTTTTTTTTTTTATTTTTTTTTTATTTTATTTCCCACCAATGTGCGGACTGATGAATCAATCCAAAAAAAAAAAAATTTTTTTTTTTTTTTTTTAAAAAACTCCGCGCCTTTTAGTATTCAAGTAGTTCCCGCCCTTCCTCGTAAAAAAAAAAAAAAAAAAAAAAAAAAAGGGCTTCTTCTTTTTCTTCTTCTTCTTTTTCTTCTTACTATCTTTTTTTTTTTTTTTTTAAACTAAAAGATTTTTTTATATATATCTCGTCAGGGGCCAACGCGTATTATTATTATTATCACCGATTCCCCTCATTTTTTTTTTGTTTCCCCTTAAATAAGGTATTCATAGCAGTAGCAGCGGTTGCGGAACCCTAATGAATTAGGTAGTAGTGATATAGGGATTATATATATATATATATATATTGTAACCTTCGAGTAATTAAAGGGCTCTTCTTCTTTTTTTTTTTTTTATAAGCAAAAAGAGTAAGAGATCCGCCTTTATCAAAGTAAATTTTTTTTCATAATCGAAGGGGGGGAATCAAAAAAAAAAAAGAATAGAAGAAATTGATGATTTGAATAAAAATATTAAAGGAAAAAGATGATGAAGATGATGATTAAGCAAAAGGTGGATTTTTTTTTTTTGAAAAAAAAAAAAAAAAAGGAAATACAAAAGTTTAAATTTCGCGCAAAAAACAAGGATTTATTTTATTTTATTTTAATGTAAGATAATAATAATAATAATAATAATAATAATAATAATAATAATAATAATAATAATAATAATAATAATAATAATAATAATTATAAGTGAAGCTTTACAAGCATATCTGGGAATGGTGATGATGTATTGAGTTTTTACGTAGACAGATTTGACAAGTTTAACAAAACAAAGTACTTTGGAATATTAAAATTTATTTTTTTATTTATTTTTTTTTTTTTTCGTATAAACATAAACCCCCCAACCAACGTGCCACTTATGCTTTTTTATTTATTTATTTATTTATTTAAATAAAAAGACTGTAAAATATAAAGGAAAAAAAAAAAAAAAAAAAAAAAAAAAAAAGGCTTTATTTATTATTACAAGCGCATAAATTTCATAGCAAGAAATAACTAAATAACTAAATATCTAAACAAGTTAAGCGACTGGATCTAGAGATGTGCGTTTGTTTGTCACAAAGTATAATAAGCTTATAAAAAAAAAAAAAAAAAAAAAAAAAAAAAAAACCACTCCACAATGACAGGGAAATATATACCACATACATGTGTTTTAACCAAAGAGAAGAAACATGGGTATTGTTTTTGATTCAATGGAATAGAAGAAGAAGAAGAATATGGTTACAATTGTTAAATTAGATTCTAAATAATGATGACTTGTAGTAGAAGAAATCACGGGCTACGATTGATAGGAATTGAAAAGAAAGAAAGAAAGAAAGTGATGATATGACACTAAATAATCAGATCACATAAATGTAGTAGTAAGTAAGTATGTAAGTAGGTACATGAAGTTTAAGTCTATCTTTTTATCTATCAAAAATCAAAAAAAAAAAAAATATCGAACGATATATAAATCATATAATAAATAAAATATAGTACGATAGAGAGAGAGAGAGAGCACATGGAAAATAAAATAAAAATTAAAAACATAAGAGGGATTTTTTTTTTTTTTTTTAAAAAAAAAAAGGGCTCAGTTGCCTTACCAAATAAAAAAAAAAAGAAATCTAATATATAAAAAATATAAAATGAAAATAAGAATAAAATAAAAGTCTAAGATTGATTGTTTTCAAGTTCTCTCAATATAAATATAAATATATTGAAAAGAAAATAAATAAATAAAATAAAAGATGGGAGAATTAAATAAAAGAAAGAAACAAGGAAAATATATTATCGATATTACTAAGCTTAATTAATATAAACAAACAAATAAACTGGGTGGTTATTATTATAATAATAATAAAAACTGGGGGAGGGGTTTATCAATCAGTCAATCAATTTAATGCAAAGCTGACTGACCGTTATTTGTTAAATAAAATAAAATAAAATAAAAAATAACATATTCTTCAATCCTCGTTTTTTTTTTTTTTTTTTTTTTTTCTCGAGGGCCTCCATTATTATTATTATTATCCTGTTATTTCATTATTGAAAATTAAAAAAAAAAAAAAAAAAAATTTTTTTTCTAATTTTTTAATTTTTTAATTTTTTTATTTTTTCAGTCTTCAATTGACAATTGAATAAAGTATTAAATGAATAAACCTTTTTCCCACTTCTTACTTAAATCCTCTCCTCCCCCAAATATGTGTAGTAGTAAATCAATAATTTTTTTTTTCTTTTTTTTTATTTCTTTTATATATATCCTTTGTAAAAAAAAAAAAAAAAAAAAAAAACATAATAATAGCAAGATAAAAAAAAAAGCTTCAACTTTGAGCAAACTAGTTAGGTTTAATTTACAAGTATCAAAAAAAAAAAAAAAAAAAAAACGAGAAGAATTGATCTTTTTTTTTTTTTGTCTATGAATAAATGAAGATAATGATATATATATTCACTAAAAGTTTGATATTAAAACATTTCGTTTTCTTCTTCTGTTACTTTTTCTTCTATATTCACTTTATAAATAAATGTTTAAAAAAAATTCAAAAGATAATTGAAAAGAAAAAAAAAAAAAAAAAGAGAGAGAGAGAGAGAAAGAAAGAAAGAAAGAAATGGCAATACAAAGTTTGAGAGCTGCTAAAAAACAAAATTATTTTAAACTAACAATAGAAACAAATTCAATTTTTTTTTTCTTCTTATAAACTTTAAATAGAATTAGAATAGAATTGAATACAACAACAACAACAACAGCAAAAACAATAACAAACCCCATAAACATAAAGTAGCTTATCATGATTAGTAGATTCAGCGACTTTAATTATTAAAAATATATAATAATTGATATCGACTGAGGGAATAACTATATAAAGAATCTAAAAAAAAAAAAAAAAAAAAAAAGCTAATAACAATAATAATAATTGAAGAGCAAATCGATAGACAAGACGTAGGCATAGCACCAATTAAGATGAACTTATGTTAAAGAAAGATGAAATGGATGGATAAATGGATAATAACAAAAAAAAAACAAAAAAAAAAGACATATTTCCGAAAGAAATGGAATATACCAATTTTTTTTTTTTTCATTCATTCATCCATTCATAGACAAAGCATTTTATCTCTTTTTTGCTTGCTGGGCGTATGTAGGAATATTCGGAATCTCCGATCGCTCCGAGCAATGCAACAGGGTAGTATATATAGTATTATAATATTATATTACCTATAACTCTTAGTTATAGTGATGTTACATTACACTTGTGTCAGATCCAACATTTAGTAAGATAGAAAGATAGATATATATTGATAGAATAATATAAACAAACCTACTACTACTAATAATTATAATAATAATTTTTTTTTTTTATTTACACTAACTGGGAAATTAATTTTGTATTTTTTTTTTTTTTCCATAGTATTTAGCCCATAATCATTGATCTACTTTGCACCTTAATAGTGGTGGTGATCATAGAAGCTAAAAAGAGAGGAAGAGGAGGATAGTTGGAACAAAAAAAATAAAGACAGAGAGAGCAGAAAAATGGTTTTCAATTGAGACTAAAAACCATAGACTAGATATAAATAAATAAAAAAAAAAAAAAGAGGCTCAAAGTTTCTTTTTTTTTTTTTTTTTTTTTTTAATTTTTCTTTTCTTCTTTGCTTTGAGATCAACAATCATTGGTTAAATAAAAGAGTAAAAAGAAAAAAAGAAGAAAACACAAAGGTAAATATGAATATATATATATATATATGCTCATTTACTAAAATGAAAAAAAAAACTAAGAAATTAGAACTAAATACAATCAAAGTAAAGTTTTTTTTTTTTTAATTTTTTAATTTTTTAATTTTGGCCGTCGGATACACAAAGAAAAGAGAGTTAAAAGAAAAAAAAAAGAACAACAACAAAAACCAAATGGGGAGTATATATATATATATTAATAATAACAACCATTTTTTGTTATTTGGTTCTTACATTTATTTAGATTCTATACTAATTGGAACTCAATTTAAATGATTTCTTCATAAATAGAGAGAAAGAGAGAAAGAGAGAAAAAGAGAAAAAGAGAGAAAAA